ACAGTTCAAAACCCGAAATGCAAAGAGCTAAAACAGAACACCTACGCAACAATCCCATGGCAATTATAAAAACCGAAAGATGGTGGTCGAAAGTACTTTTTTAAAAAGGAAAGAAATGACTCATCATTCAATTTTTTCTTATTAAACATAATAATTTGAATTTGTTGAATTGTTCAAAATCGATTATATTTTCTTCTTAAAGGGATACTTTAAAAAATCCTATTCGTAATAACAAAAATTTGAAAACATCCAATAAAAAATGTAAAAGGAGGATATTGCAATGAGATGAATGTACGCTTAAGCGTTAATAATGACCAATACACGTGTAAAAAATAAATATATCCGAGTCATAATGGTGGAGTACCCGAAAGTCAATTAACTTGTTGGTTACATAGCCAAATCAATGAAACCAATAAGCGTGTGTTAAAAATGCTTGTATCAGTAGAGCTACCCACATTTATATTAGTTCTACTTTATTTAGTATTTATCTCAAAATGTTATACGTATGTATTTTCCGTATTACTGTTGGTACATTTAAAAAGAATTTCAAAAATGACGTTCCAGCTTTTTTTTTACACATGTAACTCAAATACTACAGCCAAATGAAAAGAAAGGGCGCCGAAATTTGAATTCCTACACTCAAATGCGCAATTATCCCATTTGTCACTTCGTTATAGATCATCCTATCGCAAAGTGGATAGTTCTAATTTCAAGAGAGTGAAGTTGTCGTATCAATTCGTGTGGTGTCGTGTCGCCCCGTGCCGTGTCTTGTCGTGTTGTGTCGCGTGTTGTCGAGTCGCATCGTGTCATGTCACATCGTCTCGTGTCGCAGCTTGTCATGTCTCATCGTGTCGTGTCATATCCTTTCGTGGCGTGTCGAACTGTGCCGTGGTATGTCGTATCTCAATAGCAGTGCAAATGAACCGACGCCCCGCCCCTCCACCATCCAGAACGGAAAGGGCATGCCAACTTTGTCGAAACTGACGAGCGCGCTCCCAAGCGAGAATCTGCCAGAGGCCAAATTCCCTGCCACACCAGCACCTGAACGCCAAATAGGGAAAGGTTAGTGGGCCAAAGCCAGCACGCTCCCTCCTTCCAAATCTCCTCCCTGAACTTCCAGACGCTCCCCATTCACACTTTCTTTATCCAAAATTCTATTTTATGCCTGTGCAAACAATGCACTGGGCAATAATTTTCGTTCGTTGTGTACCATTCGTCCGATCAATCATATTCCAAAATATATTATTAATATATCAAAGATACGTGGAATGGAATTCAATTAATTCAGACTCAAATGGTTTACGTTTCATTCCACCTCTATAATTATGGCTCCCATAAGTAGTCAATGTAATCTGTGTGCCCCACGCACTTCTACCCGACAGCACGCGTACTTAAAAACCAAGAAACCAACCTTAAAAACCATAAACCAGCGCATGCTGCTCTAGATGCATTGTTTTATGAGAAGCGCAAAGTCGGATTGGCGTGTTCCCCGAGGTCATTTCCCTTGGGCTCATTGCCGAGGTTTCACTGCATAAATTAAAGGCTAACGAGAGTACGTTGACGAAACTTTGAAGAACCTTTCCGCTATACATGCTAAAACTGCTCTGCTTTGCATGCTGAAAATAGCGCGCCAACCAACTTCTGTACGTAGAAGGGACACGCTGGATATTTTCATATTAGAAGCACGTATTTCACTGTTTGTGAGTATGTAGTTCACAAAGAATAATATTATTATTAATTACTGCGACATGTCATGTTTGTTATTCTAAGACGGTTTCCCATTTCCTCCGCAAACAAAAGTAAGTAATCAGGTTATCTTTGCATCTTGATAAAAAGTAAGTTATTGATTAATCATCCTACATATAGTGCTGGGGTAGCCGTGCGGTGTCATTCGAATTATTGGTGGAGAACTGACCAATTTTTATCGGATCCTTCCAAAACATTCTCAGGCAATTATCAGAAGTGTTATTGTTTCTTAAGCATCTAGAATGCGCGTTGGGTGACGGAAGATTAATAACTCACTCAATCTTGACAGGACAAATTGACGGCACAATTTTAATCGGATCGATCTACATTTTCTGAAATACTTATAAGGTGTTTAACGCCTTCTTAGGGGGAACGGGTCAAAACATCTACAGTGGTTGAACGCTATTCTAACTCTCCAGAATAACATACATCTTGCGAATGAATAGTTATATACCGAAGATCAGCTGGATGTAATCTACATAAATACGCATTTTCAATTAGTTTTTATATCAAAATCTAGGCTGATCTATTTATTCTTATTGACATACATAAAATAATAAAAATAATACATTAAAACTTTATGAATCAATGTCATACCCACAAGACAGACACGGAATTAACATGTTCTTGTGAAACGACACTTAAACATTTCTATCGTAAATATAAGGCAGAGCCTTTTGGTAAAATGCAGTATCTGAACTAATTGTAACTGAAGGAAGTGTAACACTCTCGCGTGCGTAAAATGACACCAAAGAATTTAAATTACAAACACTGGCCAGCTAGCTAATTAATATTTACTGTTGGATATACTACGCTTTCGTTCTTCTGCCACTGACGTTTTGGCCTCCTTGCCAAGTAAACACAAAGGTAATTCGGCTCACAGGCCGGAGGCGAAGGCGACAAACGCGCCCCGCCGAGCGCACCGGAAGAGGCTGCTCCGCCCGGCAGCCGGAGCGCTCCGGGTCAAGGTCTGAGACGGCGAGGTGGGAAGCGGCGGGGCGCGGCTGGTCGGTGGAGGTAGAGTAAGGGAAGAGAGAGGACAGAATATGACGTATGGGACAGGGAGAGGGCGGAGTCAAGGAAAAGGGTGGAGAGTTTTCCACACCAACATGGCTGGGTCGAAATTCAGTAGCTGTGTCTGGAGGGCAATTCTAGCGGTCAGCTCCTCTAATCGATAGTTTTCCGTGGTTTTTCCGATCAATACCAGGAGAATGCCGGAGCAGAAACCTAACAATGGAGCCACGACCGCGCACGTTCTTTCCTTCCTATCCCTTGTTCTAGCCCCTCTCCTTATTTATACACGTATGCACTAAATTACAATATATGTCGGGAGACTAGTAGAGAGCTTACAGCGTATCTCGAAAGGGGCGGTGCCCGGGTGGGGGAGGGGAGATTCCTCGAAGGGGAAATGTCCCGCAATCCGATGTGTAAGTCATCGGCGAATCTCACCTTTCAGTGGAGCATCGCCACCTAGCGTACTAAACATTCACTACACTATCGGAACTAACGAACTAACGAAAATGAAGCAAAGAGGAAGATGGTTCGGGAGCGGAGGGTGAAGAGGCGGGGCTCGCGTGGGATGTCGCAAAGGATGGCGTAGGTGTCGAGCGGGAGTCCGGCGGGAGGGGCCGCGAGGCGCAAGCGGGCGGCGGGGGTGGCCTTTCGCATGCAAGGCAGCCGCGCCCTCTCGCCACCCGTCCTCATTAGCTCGTGGCTTCGGCGCTAGGTGGCGTGCGCTCGCCCACGCGTCCTCGCCCGCCCAGCCCCGCCCGACCCGCTGGCCCCATTCAGGGGCTTCCACAAGCCAACGCCCTCTGTACAGTCTCAGCCACATCGTAGTGGGATCGTTACTCTTTCATCATCGCGAATTTGTTTCTCAATTCCATTATTTCAATCAGAATTAAATTCAATATGCAATGCTCCGCACGATGAATACTACTTCAACCACTACTCCTTAAAGTAACTACGTACATGCTATTGCATTCCGTGAAGTGAGGTTTGTAAAATAAAATGTAATGTAGACTTAGATGAAACTGTTATAAATTAACAATATAAAATGCAGTTGCCCCCCCCCAACACACACACACACACAGACAAAGTACTATCCACTGAAACGGACAAAATAAGATCGAACTTCTGACAAAGCATTATTCTTAAACAATACGTATTCGTGGTATCCGCAATACATTTTGGCTTCTTTCTTTCGTGAAGTTAACATGGGAATAATACGAGACGTGGAACCTGTTCACAACGCCTGTTATTTTGAATTTTAACTGCTCTTTTCATATATATTTATGGGAATTTACCACCCACATTCAGTATGTTATAATTAAAATCAAATCTTAATATGATAGTTATCTTATTTTTATTTCTTAAAACAAAAAGAGAAAAGGATATGATTTGCCTTTCAACGGATAACCTGTGTAGAAATAACGACTTTTTCGAAAGGGTATACAGAATACTATTCTTGAAGTTATTATCCTGAAATATATAAATTTGTAATCGACTCAACAAATAGGTGCGATTTTAGGAATCGAGGAAGACAACCGCACTGTCGTATCGAAAAATAGCAATACAATTTTTGTAGATAAACCCTACTGGCTGACAAGATGTGGTGACAATGGCCCGCAACTCGATTGTCAATTTGGATAGTTCACGAATATTCAACTTTTCTTAAACTTCTATTCCCAATCCATAGAAACCGAACTTCATTTCTTCCATGAGTATAGTAAAGTATGACTTTTTCACTTTTAATTAAATCTAATTAACTTTGAGTTTTAACTTTTTTCTAATATTTCTTCACATGAATTCTTCACATTTTATTTCCCTCCAATCATTATAAGACTAGTCCAGCCTCAAACTAGTATCTCCCGGACCTCTTTAATGCAGAGAATCCCTAACTACCCGATTCTAAAACAAATTAATCAAATATAAAATTACTCGGTACTGCAACTGTTTAGCCTAATGCCTGATCGGAGAGTTTCATATCTTCAATAAACTTTTAAAAAAGTAAATAAGGGAAGATGGTTTCCAAAAGTAAAGCCTTAAAACAATGATAACAGACATATGCTTAGAATTAACACCTAATGAGAAATATTTAATAAACATACAAATGTAAAATAGAATGTTAAATAAAAAGTAACAATGTCTGTATCAGAAGGATGGGTACCCACTGCCCAATCCAAATTATAGAAAAATGCAAAACGTTTATGATGTAGGGCGTAAATTAAGGATATTCAGTCGCAATGACTCACCATTATTAAAGGCGGACTGAAGATAATTTCAGGAAACAAATAAATCAGCAACTCACCTGTAAAGAGAAGAAAAATCATGGTAAATACTGGTGTTTACAATATATGTAGTGAACGCTCTGTGATAGAGGCAGGCTAAGCAAATGACACCGTACGGTCAAATCTAGAAACGCCAAATGTACTCATTTCTAAGTTACACTAATACAATTTTCAGGTTGTGTATACCTTCGATGATAAAACACATAAATGTCACTCATGCTTCACCCGAGCAAAGATATTACCACACATATTAAAGTAAAGAACTCCAAAATACCGACACTTATAAGTTGGGTTTACGAAACCAAAGACACGTAATTTCGCATTGTAATACCAGACAAGTAACACCATGCGGATCAACCAAATGACGCAACACATAATTCTAGTATAAAAATTCTCATGTAAGTAAATTCTCATACTGCGAGGGCGAAATATTTCTACATAATTTTGGGGATGTCGACTTCTGTGAGAGGTTGCGGGAAAATCCCCAATAGAAAAAAATGTTAAACGCGCTTTTTTATTCTTGAAATTGTAATTATTCCTTGTTCTACAACGGGACACCAAGCGCCTTCTCTTCCGCCAGCAGCAGGCAGGTCGCGGGCGGCCTCGACGAGGCGCCGGAACGACACGCCCCCGTTCTGTCCCCGTGCGCACAGACGTGGAAAATTATCCGCCGCCCATATTTCTGTACGCGGTCCGCATGGACGGAAAGAGTGGATTTTCCAGGTCTTCAGTATGCAAGGCGCGCGCGCGCCGGGTCGCGGGGGTGGGCGACGCGCGCGCCCGCAGCGGTGAGCAACTGGAAGGCAGGAGTTGGAGCTCGAAGAAGAAAAGAGTGAAGAGGAACAGTGTTTTTGTAAAGGTAAGAAGAGCAGGAAAGAAAGTAAACAACGCCATTAGATCATAGCGAAAAAAACAACGATAGTACAACAAACCAACATATACGGAATAAAAAGGAATGTAAAAAGTGTAATATATCATTAGAAAAGAATGAGCGAACATTCAACACAATGAGGGGGAAAACATGATGGGAAATGTTTATAAAATGATGGTGTAAACATAGCGTCAAAAGAAGCGAATACTTCGATATAATTGTGAAAATACTTACAATTTAATTTTTCAACCTTTTAATAAATTAAAAGTGAAGAAAACATTTATTTCAATAGAACACAACACTACATGGTTATTCTAGTTGAGTATACCGTACTATGCATTTCACGTAATTCAATAATATAATTCTTCACCTGACAATAAGCACTATTTCTAATCTAGATAAGGTATGTTCATAAATCTACATCTTTTTTCCATTGTCATCCATTTCCGGTCCAATTCAGTACTTTTATTTGTCAAAATGATGTGCATTGAAGTGATTTCTTTCATCTTCTCCGCAATAGGATAAATTAGACTACACTAGTAATAAAATATTCCAGCATTTTTGGACGTAAGTCACTTTGGACTTGCCACTGCAGTCCCCAGTCTCATTATCACTCTTCAGTTCACCCACCTTACATTATCTACTCCCAATGGTCGTCCTCAAAACATAAAAGCATGCTAATAGTCTACAAGTACGGAGGGCTTTTTTTAATAAAACTAGTCAAATATATCTATACCATTTATACATTGATACATGGCTAGAACATAAAATGTAACATTAAGGCATCCCGTTTCGTTTTTTGTCTTTTTCTGTTTGCATTGTACCTCCCTCATTCAAGACGACCGCGGAGATGTTTTCAGGGTGGCTGTAATGAGGTAACTCTACACATCAAAAGAAGCCCAGGCGACATACAAATGACGTGCGAGTCAACCAGGGCATAAGAGTGCGGCGAAAAAAAAAGAAAAGCAAGGGAAAAAGATAACTGGAATGAATTTCTGCACTGCGGCAAAGTACTGCAGTTGGAATTTTCTATCAGACACCAAGATTTCAATAAATCGAATTGGTAGAGAATTCCAAGCTCAGTTAACAAATAATATATGGTATTGTAAAAGAACAGAAGAAAGAAAAGACAGCAACAGAAGAAATCAAGCAAAGAAACAAAAATGTGTTTAATAATCAAAGGAAACAAGAACCTTTTATAATATTAATCAATTTATTCAAAACAATTACCACTTACTAATCCCTTCTCCCAAAATAGCATTCCCATTAATATTATTTACTTTTATTCGAGACCGGCTTAAAAGTAGGTTATTGTTATACTGTTTTGCGACAAGAAAGTTGTTCATTACATCACGATTGTGATAAAATGTAATGAAATTTTCTTGACTCCAATGTCACCAACTTATCACTAAGTAACTGCTGACAACGAGGAATGAAGGCAATAATATGCATTATACTACAATTTCGTGACTTAATATTTGTTAACCTATTATTGGTCTCGTTTGTATACGGTCTCGTTCGTATGCATACAGAGCCTTTCTTGTAGCACCAGCCACGTCTTCATCTAACTAGGAAACCAACTACAGTCAGCAAGCCATGTAGCAAAGGTTTCATGTCAAAATGCATTGACTTAGCTTTTTGTACATTCAAAACATGCACCTATCAGTTCATATTTTATTTGGATCTATTTACATCAATTGCAATTGAACAACCTATTAAAGAGCTTCTTGACGGAACTTCCCACTCATTTCGGAAAAGAATGGGACACGCACGTTTCCTAAGACACCCATCTCACATCTCGCCACTTACAAAATTCCACATATCTATCTTTTGATTGTAATGAAAACGTGTCAAAAGTTGCTGTTCCTTCTTTTTCTTGTATATCGGGCGGAGTTATCATTATTTCCAAATTATCTTTCATATCACGATCCATCTATCTATAGAATCTGACATTTTCGTCACCATTAAAGAAAACACTAGAACAACGATCAACAAGGATGTGGCCGTGCTAACAAAACATAAGATCGAGTGATAACTGATAACCACACTGCATTTTGTTGAGTATACCTAACATTTGTTTTTAAAGCTTTATTTTGACAAAAAAATCTGCACACATAAATAAACTTAACCTCATACTACAACATCCCTCGACTCGACCTACCGACCTCGGCGGGTGAACTCTTCTGTCTCGACATGCAAAGGTCGACTTCCTTGCCTTGTGATGTTAAATACTATTTTAAATTTCAAGTTATCAATAAAAACACTTCAATAATTTTAAATACATGTATGAGAGAGGGGATCCGAACTAAAATAGCTCTCCCCTCCTTGAAATACTTTCTGGATGCACCTCTGAGTCAAGGCAAGAGGCGAACGTTAAAATACTAGTTGAATCAAAGATTTTGAGAGACATAAGTGCCAACAAAAAAGCGAACGTTTTAAATATGCATTACCACGTTACTGTTGAAAATGAAATAACAGGGCAATGACACTAAAATAATAACAGAAGAAATACAGACTAGTGAAGCGGCAACCTGAAGCGGCAACCCAGCTACACCAGACAAAAGAGAGACGGAAGCATACGGCAGGAGAAGGCGAGAGGAGGCTTCGTGTGGGGGTGGGGGGCAGAGGTGGATTCCAGACGCGGTCAGCGTTCGTGAGAGGCCGCGCAGGCGGTCGGCAATGCATCAACTCGGAGCCCACAGTCGGCGGAAGGCAATCCGCCCACGCCCCCACCGCCTCGCCACCACCGCCTTCGCCACGCCCCCTCCCGGCGCCGCCCCACCCGCTTTCCGCCTCGCTAGGCCAGCGCCCCGCCCCTCTCCCACGCGCTCCGTTTCCATGCCTCTGCCTGCTGCCCCAAGACACGACTCGCTACGACCTCTCCCTGTCGACACTTCTCCCATACCTCGCAAACCAACTTTATGTCTCGTAGTTTGCTTTCCGCACCATCGTATCCTCCGTCACACTACGTGTTTCCCCTCCCTCTCTCCTCCCCATAGGCGCTCTGTCCCCACGTTCTCACTCCTTACCCACCTGCCGTTGAATCTCTCTCCCATCCTATATTCAGTGCCGGCGCCCCTCGGCCGCCCCCTTTCCAATCCCCATCATCGACGTAGTCTCTACGACCCTGCTACCACTCACGTAGTCTCCCCGTTCCATCCCCCAACCTTCGCCTCCCTTCATCGCCTCCATCACCACCCCTTCCAGCCCTGTCCCACGCCCGCTCTTCCCCTTGCCGACCGTGCATTGCTTCGCGGCCCCCGCGGTCCGCAGGCAACTCAATTCCACGCGCGTTTCCGCGAAGGCCGTCCGCCTCCTTCCCTCCTTCCCTCCTTCCCCGCTTCCCCGCTTCGCTAACCGCCCCACACCCCCGGGCAGCACCATTCGCTCTTTCCGCGCGTCCATTAGAATAGGCAACACACAGACCGCGCAGTAAATCACCCGCTTCGGGTTCCACACTCCCGTACGGATGTACGACCCCTGGCGGATGCCTTCCGGCAGCGTTTAATTAGCTGCGTTAAGCAATGCCACCCACACACGGCTGCCCTGACGCTATTTATCTGATGGAGTTTCTGCGATGAATAGGATTCTGTCCGTCTCAGATTCTTTCTTCCAGCCAAGTTAATCTATCACAGGAGTTATCCACTCTACGTCTACAGCATAAAATAGTTAAACCCCTTATTGTTTTCTGTGAGAGGCGTTCCATTCAAGGGGAGAGGTTACCATGAAATGGGTCAAATTATCGATTATTTTTGTTTGGTTTTTTCGCTAAATAAATAGTTCAAACCTTTCTCTTCCCAAAAATATCAACATTTGTCTTCTAGGACATCTGGAAGTCCCTTTATTTCTTATTTAAATGTCCTAGTCTGCATGAGACACGCCCGTTTTTCTGACACATTGCATACAAGTATGTGCAGTGTATGTGCTATTTTCGCGTAATTGTGAAGGCATGTTGGGTTGTTGACGAGTAAATGAAACATGCTCTTGATCAAACGTTGGTAGCATTGATCTTCTCCGCTGAAGAAGATGATTCAGAATACGGAGCACTCTAGTAGAGCAGCGGCAAGTACAAACATTTTTTTCAATGGCGATTCCCGAAAAAGTACTTATATTATTATTATTATTGTACCTTTTCTCAGAAAATATTAT